CACACACACACACGTATAGGACTGCAGAGCTCAGGCGCTTGTTGGCACTGGCCTGCCGCTTTGTTATTATTCACGCCTCTTGCGTCGCTCTCCGTCTCTGCGAGAGCGAGCGGACACCGCGCGACGCATCACAAGTTGACATTATATCCTTCCCTGCGAAATCTCCTGGTTTTCGCACGACGGCGAATGGCATCTGGTTTGCATTACTTCGGACACAGGGAGCACATCCAATGTGTCTGCAGTGTTTTGATTTCCCCCCCCCCCCCCCCCCCCCCATTGCCTTGGGCAGTATCGTCTCCTTCGAAAAGCCACAAATCTGGCCACAAAGTTTATTTTGGCTGCTATAAATGTCTGTTCAGCACCCTCTGTGCATGTCAATTACGTTTGGGTGGTGCTGTTGTGGGCGTGTGTTATTTTTCATTACCACCACCTGAGTCGAAACTTCGTTGTAAGTTGCGAGTTTTGTGTTTCCACGGTGTTTGCACTCGGGCGCGAAAAGTGCAAGTGCATGGGACTCATTTGTCGGTACAAATAAGTCTCTTGTCTGGATCAGCTACCAATCCCCCCCCCTCCCCTCACCTGTTTGGTGCCTGGCATTATGATTTGCATTGCTGGCACGATCAGGATGGGGATGGTTTAGTTCCATTTTTTTTTACCTTTTCCTATACTTTGCAATCCTTTCGTGTGTTTTTGTACTGTTTGTTGTAACGGTCTTACCCCGTGCCATTGTGAAGAAAAATTGCTTCATAGCTCATCGGATTCCTCCAGGCGAAATAAAGATTCCGATTATGATTACACGAATTACATCGATTACATCGATTGATCATAATCAATGTATTTGTGGTCGATTTATTTATTTATTTAAAATATTCGTGCAATCGTAAATCCGAATAGTGAACGCGGTGATCGGTAACCTGGGTTTCCGTGTTCATCCTACGATGCGCAAACCATGGCGCTACAGTCTGTTGCACGTAAGACGCTTCGCATTTAAAATCTTAATATGTTGTGTAGCAATGTCACTTGACTGTGTGTCTGTGCGTGTGTGTGACTGCGTGGAGAGTGGTCGTGTAGCGGTTAGCGCTACGCTGAGTTCGATTCCTGCTCACGGCCAACACCAGTGACGATGATCTTAACCGGTCCTGGGCCTCCCCTAGGTCGACTCAGCCCTAAATGAGTACCTGGTGCGGTGTGTAAACATCGCCACCGGGGAGACAAAGGAGGTCGGGCGTGTTGCTGACCATTTCACCCCCTTCGTGTGCTGTGCCGGCTTTTGTAGGTGCTCGCTAACAGCACTTGCCCCAAGAGTATGTTACAGGCTTTCTGGGGAATCTTTGTCTCTGTGTGACTGCGAGGAGGCGCTCTCTTCGAGTGAACTGTGCTGCAGTCTGTAAGCGCGCGAGTTTCGAAGGATATTGGGTGCCACGGTGCAGAGAGGTTAGCTCCCTCGCCCGAAATTGCATGAGGACGTGGGTTCGATCCCGACGCTGACGCCTGTTGCATATTTGGAGTTTGCGTGTGTGTCTCTCTCTTCACTGTGGTTGTGTGGATTTTTCTCCGGGTCCTCCGGTTTTACCCTCCACATTTAGAATCAACATCGCGCTTTGAAGAGTATTTATTTGGCTGCTATAAATTTCCACGCGACGATAAACCACTTGGGTGAGCAATCATTTGTGGCCAGGTCGCTTCTGAAAAAGAGCTGCATAGCTCAGTGGGGCCTTACCTGGTAAAATAAAAATAGTTGCAAGCTATGGCCTCTCATAGGACGACACCCGAGTACATGGTGCAGCGTTGTAACGTCAGCGTCGGGGAGACAAAGGCACCTGAAGCGTTCAGGTGACCCCAGAACCCCACCTGTGTTCCATGCAGACAATGCTCTAATGGACGCCCGTTAACAGAACTTACCCTCACAATCTTTCCGGGCTAAAAGAGGCATATTTGTTGCGTGCACGTTGCGCGTGCGTTTGACGTGCATGTTTGAGTTACGCTCGCGGACATCACCGGCGACGATTATCCGAATTGGTCATGGGTCCCCCCTAGGTCGACTCGGCCTTAAACGAGTACCTGGTGTGATGTGTGAACATCACCACTGGGGAGACAAAGGCAGGCAGTGGGTGGCACTGGCTACGCCACCCACTCTCGTGCTGCTCTGCTTGGTAAGATGCTCGCGAATGACACTTTGATGTGCGAGGATCTTTAACCGGGGATCTTTGTCAGTGTGTGTACGCGTGTGTACGCGCGCGCACACGCGTTTGGAGAGCGGGGCCGCGGCGATCAACGCCCCGCGCCACGAGCTCACCAACCCGCTGCTCGATTCCCACTCACGGCCACCAACACCCGGTGACGATTACCTGAACCGGTCGTGGGCCTTCCCCTGGGTCGACTCGGCCTCTCCACGAGGGGGACAATAGGCGGCCGGGCGTGACGCTGGCCGCCACCCAACCCCCTCGTGTGCCGTGCCGGCCTTTATAGGTGCCGCTCGCTAACAGCACTTGCCCCGAACAGTCTGTTACAGGCTATATGGGGCGGGGGTGGGTCTTCGTCTTTTACGCTACATGTAGGGCTGGTGTTATAAATATGGAATCAGCTGAATGATTAAAGGAGTGCGCCTGGGCCACGTGAAGTTGTAGGACAGAATGCCCTCTACCCCGTGCACATGGTCACAGTGTACGTCATGCAATACCAAACCGGATTCTCGCGATGGCCTTGTGCTAATGAAAGACATCAATTGTTTGCTCAACATTTATTTTTGTAGTTGTTTCTCACCCACCCCTATTTTATCCCGATTATGCCACCGCCGTCACGCCACTTAAGCATCCACGGTTATCTTAGCGCAGGGCAGCGTTGATTTTTTTTCGTGTCGGGGAATGGTAAGCCACCAAAGTGGATATCATAGAGCTACCTCGTGAGGTCCTTTTAAATGATCCTCTGCTCCACAGAGTAACGGGCAAAACCACGGCCTGGATTCGAACTCAGCTGTGCCCTCCGAGCCAGCCTCTCAATACAAACTCCTTTCATTTATCATCACCGTCATCAGCCACGGTCAATCCACTGCTGGCTGAAAGCCTCCCCAATCCACCATTCATGGTCATTGCGATGTAGCAATCCCCGCCTAGCACCCGCTCACGAGCTGACGTAATCGCTCCGTGAACGTCTTCAATTTGGACGCGTCGTCTTGTCGAAATGCAGCTTGAGTGGTTGTTCACTTTGCCGGGCCTTGGTTTAGCCAATGAGGGCTGGTTGCTCAAGACGTTGTCGGATCGATCGGTAACGCAGCGCTTTTTCTAACCTCCCGTGAACGGGCCCCGTAACATTTTCGTTCTCGCGCGGTACATTCGCAGCGAATCTGCTGGGCATTAGCGCTGCCAACCTGAACACGCCCGTGCCAAGCGCGTGGCGACGTGTCTCCCGGTGGGATGAACTAAATGGCACTTGGAATTATTGTTTTCCAAGTGAAATGCTGTGGCATTTTAAAATTTAAATTCTCCGCCGCTTGACAGCGTGTCCTGCGCTAAATTGAACGTACTCGGGGTGGGGGGGAGGCCTTGAGTTTCAGAGGCGGTTCTAATGGGGAGGGGGCACGACACGGCGAGGCCCCGAGTGACTGTCGCTTGGCATGTCCGTGTGTCTGTGTGTGTGCGGGGAGCGGTGGTGTAGCGGTTAGCGCGTTGCGCTACGAACCTGGCAAACCTGGGATCGATTCCCACTCATGGCCAACACCGGTGACGATCTGAACCGGCCCTGGGCCTCCCCTAGGTCGACTCGGCCTCAAATGAGTACCTGGTGCGATGTGTAAACATCGCCACTGGGGAGACAAAAGCGGCCGGGCGTGGTGATGGCCACCCACCCCCTCGTGTGACGTGCCAGCCTTCATAGGTGCTGCTCGCTAACATAATTTTCCCCAACAGTCTGTAGGCTATACGTGGGATCTTTGTTTTTGTTGTCGTGTTCATGGTGGGGGTAGGGGGGGGGGCACCGGCACGTGTCTCCCCCGATGATTTACGCTTCGGATTTGCATCGCGGTCAAATATTGATGATGGTGCGAATAATTTTTGGTCAAAAATCATCGCAGTCTCGGATAGGCCGGCAAGCCTGGCCATTCACCCGAGGTAAACTTTGTACGTTTCATTTTTGTCATCTTCATCATCATCAGTGGTTGCAGCAGCAGCGGCGGCAGCAGGAGTTGCGGCCATATTTAGTCCACTGCTGGATAAAGGACTCCCCAAATCCGCCACCATTTCTCGCACTCCAGCAGTTTAGCTTGTCGTCCTTCCCCCACACCTCCGATTAGCACGGTTGGCTACGTACGGTGCGAAAGAAGTTCAACGTACGTACAATACATACAGCAGTGGACGTCCTGTGGGATTAGACCGTCTGCCTTCTTCGCGAAGTCGCCTTGCCCAGATGCACTTGCTCACTTTCTTTTTTTCACGAGTCGTTCGGTGAGAGTGGATGCTTTGATTTTCGGAGTTGCGCACTAGAATACACGCGCCTCCATTGGCCGCCGCAACGCCGTCCTTCCCGGTCGTCTAAACGTAAGCCGGTCTACGAATGTAAAAGATAAGGTCAGGGCTGCTTCACCGTTCTTGACCGCACGACTCGGTTGCCATTGATAAGGTGAAGGAGGTGGGTACCCAGCGACGGGTCGGTGATCACTCCCCACTGATGTCGGACGTAGCCAGGAATCAAACTCGCATCCCTCTGTTTATAGCGCGGTGCGAGCAAACCCGACGCGCCTCCGGTGCAACATGCATCTCATTTGTCGTTCTCTGTCTCTCCCCGTGCCCGCGTGTGTGCGTGCCCGCATGCGTGCGTGTGTTTGCCCGCGTGTGCTTGCCTGCGTCCGCGTGCGCATGCGTGTGTGCCCGCGCTTGTGTGTGCGTGTGCCTGTGTCCGCGTGCGTGCGTGCCCGCGTGTGTGTGTGCGTGTGTCCGCGTGCGTGTGTGCGTGTGCCTGCGTCCGCATGCGTGTGTGTGTGCGTGTGTGCCCGCGTGCCGCTCTAGATGTTGACGATGTGGCGGGGTTCCCGGGCCCTGGCGGCGGGGTGGACGCCGTGGGTGCGGCCACAAACGCGCCCATCGCCATCCCCTGCCACGCGTCCGCCTCGGGCCACGCCGCCACGTTCTGCTCCCCGCCACGGGCAAACCACGGCACGGTATGGACCCACCGCGTTGGCCACCTGTGTGTGTGTGTGTACCTGGCGACCCGAGTTCGATTCCAGCTCACGACCAACATTGGTGACGATTTCCTGCACCAGTTTTTGGGCCTTCCGTAGGTTGGCTCGGTCCCAAATGAGTACCTGCTGCGATGCGTAAACATCGCCACCAGGGAGACAAAGGCGGCCTGGCATGTGCCGCTAAGTCTGTTAACATGCTATATGTGGGTTGAGGGTGGGGGGCGGTTGCCCTTTGTCCTGCAATATTGAAAGACAAGACAAGATGCTGTCGAGTAGTGGGGGTGACGCACGCTGCGGAGAGAGGCTGTGGGGGTTACTGCAACGTGGGCCTTACCTGTTCAAATAATAACGGTTCGCAGTTTTATATTTTCCGAGCCCGTCGTGCCAGCGCGTGTGTGCGTGCTCCTCCACCCTCTGCTCAGGGCTACGCCGGCCCCAGCGGCGAGCCAGGAGGGGAGGTGACCTACAGCTACCTGCACGGCCCCGGCGGCTCGTCAGGCGCCCCGCCGGCGGGGGGCGCCGGCTCGCGACAGCAGATGCCGGTGTTTGAGTGCCCCAGCATCCAGATCACGTCCATTTCGCCGCGGCGCCACGACATGGACGTGATGGAGGAGGGAGGGGACGGGGGCCCTCCTGGCGGCGGCGGCGGCGTGGACGGGGCGAGGGCCCTGCACGAGGGCAGGGAGAGGGGCAGGTGGGTCCCCGTGGTGGAGAGATGTTGTCTCCCTCGCCTGGTATGCAGGAGGTCGTGGGTTTTCGATCCCGACCCTGATACCTCTTGTATATTTGGAGTTTGCGTGTTTCTCTCTCTCTGTCCGTAGTGAAATGTTAACTACCTCGCCTGGTATGCAGGAGGTCGTGGGTTTCGATCCCGACCCCTGACACCTCTTGTATATTTGGAGTTTCCGTGTTATCTCTCTTGCCGTGGTGGCGTGGATTTTTCTCCGGGTTGGCTCCGTACGGTGCGAAAGAAGTTCAACATACATACATACATGCGTTTCGAGTATTTGGCTGCTGTAAATTTCCACGTGATAAGCCATTTCGTTGAGTTATCATTTATGGCGCAGAGCTAATAGCTCCGTGGGCTTTACCTGGTAAAATTAATTTAAAAAAATATTTGGTTAATACGTCCCAGGGCCATCGTGGAAATGAGGTTACAACATAACCTGGTCTCTTGCTGGGTTTTCACCTGGTCAAACAAAATGAATTTAACTAAGCTGCCTCGCACGCCCGTCAGGAAATGGCTGGACGCGGTAAACACGGTGGTAAAATTAATATCGTACGCGCTGAGACCTCAACGTAACGTCAACGCGACCGCGTCATTAGTGAGCAGCAGGGCCACGCGCGAAGACGTGGAGATAGGAGCAATGCGGGGAAGAGTGGAGTGAGAGGTGCGGATGAGCGGAGTGAGATGTGGGGATGAGTGGAGTGCGATGTGGGGATGAGTGGAGTGAGACGGAGGGATGAGTGGAGTGAGGTGTGGGATGTGAGTGGCATGAAAGTTGTGGAGTGACATGAGGTGCGGTAAGAGCTTCGAGATGTGCGGAGTGAGAGGCGCGAGATGTGTCGAGTGCGATGCGGTGGGGGATGAGTTGAGTGAGGTGTGCGAGAGATCGGTGAAGTGAGACGTGGACGATGTTTCGCCGCGTTCAAAACGGAGGTTCCAATCGACGATCCTCATGGAGGAGGGTCCCCTCCCCATCCTACCCCCTCTCCCCCCGTACCCCCCCCCCTCACCAGAAGCCGCGACCAGCTGTACCTGTCGCTGGAGCACGGCTTCTACCGCGAGTCGGCGCTGAGCTTGAGCCCGGCGAGCAGCGTGTCGTCCCGCAGCTGCTTCTCCGACGCATCGTCGCTCGAGTCGTACTCGTACGCGTGCGACGACGTCGAGGCGGAGCTCAACGAGGCGACGTCGCGCATCGGCCTGCACGCCGCGTCGCCCCTCTCCGCGTCGCCCCTCCCCTCGCCCGGCGGCTCCCCGCACCTCGGTTCGCTCGACGACGCCTGGGCACATCTGCCGCATCAGCAGCACCAGCTGCAGCTGCAGCAGCAGCAGCATCAGCAGCAGCAGCACTACCATCAGCAGCACCACCAGCAACAGCAGCCTCCGTCCTATGGCACACACCTACAGGTGAGCAGCCAGAGACATCTGTGACGTTATTGGCGCGTTACAATTGTACGTTGTCGTTGTAATGCAGAAGTCATGTGGACGGGTTTACTGTCCACATTACTTCTGCCTCTGTTATGGGTTTACCCGCGTAGATCCCCTCCCCCCCCCCCCACAACATTTAAATGGATAGAACCGCGTGCAGAGCAATTGCTGATTTGTCGTTAGCCGCGTCTCTACGCTGCGCAGAAACATCACGCGCAAGGCACTCGTGTCGGGTGGTGGAGGGTTTCGACACATTTCTACTTACGCAATCTAACCCAACAACCTTTATTATGGACAGTATTATTATGCTCTGCAGTGCTGCGCAGTAACGTCTGTAGCATTGGATTGTGGGTTCCCTGATTAGCTTGTGATTTTCGCTGTTTATATTTGTGGGGTTTTTTTCCCACCTTTTTTGTTGCTTATTATATTTGTATAATATAAAAAGCAATCGCATGTTTTTGCCCGCTACAATATTATCAGGTGAATCAATCGGTGATCTCAGTGTATATGTATACACACACACACAATTACCATGTTTGATATTCGTCAGAGCACTGCAGTCTCTAATAACGTTACTCAACTCTCTGAGCCTGTGCCTTCATCCAGACTGTCAATTTTATCTGGTCACAGTCGGTTGCGCTTAAGTCTTTGGTCGGCAGCCGTAGTCACCTTCAAGATCGATGCTTTGCACCTGCTCGCAGTCACCACAACCTACGATTTTTTGACACTTGTCGACGAATATTCCCGCGACGAATTCTGCCAACAAATTCGACACTGGTGTTGGCTGTGTGTAAAGAAGGGGCGGGGGGGGGGGTGTCGTGCGGGCGGTAACGTAGGGTGGTAGCGTAGCGCAACTGGCACGGGGTTTCTGGTGCAAAACATGAAATGGGGCTTTCCCCCGTCCAACTTCAGCCCTTGCTCTTCGTATCCCTGCACCTGCGGGGCCCGTTGTGGGCATGCCGCGTGCGTCACCCTCCTCTTCCTCGCACAGCCGAGGTGCTTGCGTAGCGAGCGGCCATCTTGTCCCCGGTGCCAGATAATAAATAAATAAAGGCGTCTCTCTAAATAAATTTATACTCAGAAATCGAACAGCACGTTAACCTAACAACAGCAACAACCGCCATTCGCAACTAAGTGGCGGTGATGTCACCGCGGCACTTGTGCCAGGTTAGGTGCACTGTTTAAGGCCACGTGAAGTGTCGAATGCCCGCTGGCAAGCGGTGCCATGGGTTGACCGATTGAGATGACTGGCGCACGCACACAAACAAAGACAAAGATCCCCATATAGCCTGGAACAGACTGTTGGGGCAAGTGCTGTTAGCGAGCACAAACACGTGCACGACCACCGCAGTCACTTTCCGCCGCTTGCAGGAGGCCATTTGAGTAACGCCTCTTGACGCACGCGTGCGCGTGTGCGTGCGCCGCAGGTATCCCCGCGCCACTCCCCCAGTGGCTCCCCCCGCACCAGCGTCACGGAGGAGAACTATCTGAGCCCGAGGCCCTCGTCGCCGTGCGGCAAGCGACGGCACTCGGGCTCCGACGCCTCGGCCCCCTCGCCGTCGCGCACTCCCTCCCCGCTGCCGTCTCCCCGCTCGCTCGGTCTGGCCGAGCCCGCGGGCCCTCCCTTCCTCACGCCCGTGCCGTCCGGAAACGGCTGCGGCGGCGGCGGAGGAGGAGGCGGCGGCGGCGGGGGCAGCTGCTCGCCGACCGGCGCCTCTCCCGACTTGGGGCCCATGCCGGGAGCCGCCGTGCTGGACATCTCGGAGAGCGTGCCGCCAAAGGCTCGCCGCACGTCGCTCGACCAGGCCTCGGCGGGCAGCGGCGGCGGCGTTGGCGACGAGAGGGACTCGCCGTGCGACAGTTTCCAGCAGCTCTGCGCCAAGAAAGATCTGCCGCCCGTGCTGGCGTCGCCCGGCTTGCACATGGCCGGAGACAACTTCCTGGCGGTGCCGCCGCTCTTCTCGTGGAAGAGCAAGGTGTCGGGGGGAGGAGGAGGTGGTGGTGGTGGTGGCGCCGGCAGCTGCGGAGGTGCGAGCCACATGCCGCTCTTCAGGTGAGCGCTCGTCCTGCGTGGCGCGCTGCGTCGCGCCCCTTTGTCGAAGGCCGGGTGAACGAAGGCCGCCCCCCCCACCCCCACGTCGTGTCGGTCATTGAGGGTCCTGACCATGCTGGTCAGTGCAGGTGGTTGAAGTGGTGTCCACTGATGTTTTCTACGGCCGAGTTTAGAGGGTAGCGCATTATAACCACGGAATCTCCTCCGCACTCTGGGTTGCATAAACGGGATTGCAATTTTATGGAGTGTGAAACCTCTTGTCCGTGTGACCCCTCTTATCTGCCGGTGCACCCGTTCGCCGGTGTTTACCCTTAGCAAGCACCCCTCTTTCCACTGCCACATCTGAACCGTGCCAGCACGCGTCGCTCGCGGCACGGCTTATCCACTCGCTATTTTTCCGAGCCGTGCCGCATGGCACCGCCGGGTGTCAGAATCCTTTCCTTGCCGAGGGCCCAACGCGACTTTCAGATATCTTTTTGACCGGGCCACGCATTAGCGCACTCGCGCCTCCGTCACGGCAAGCGAAGGCCCTTGCGGTGGCAGAGGAGGCGGCTCGAGAGGGCTAAAGTTAGAAACGCAGAGTGTCACCCGGTCGGATGCATTCCCCTGTGATGCCACTGCGTAGGTTCCCTCCCGGTCACGCCGTGTGGCCCCCCCCCCCACACCGTGTGTGTGAGTGCGCGTTGTTGAGGGCTGTGCCACGTGGCGTTCCGCTCGATTGTTCCGACGGTGGAGCACGCGGAGCGCCGGGCATTGTGCAGCACGCAAACTGTTCTCCTCTAGCACCCGATTAGCGCGGCTAAGACGCTCGCAGCGACACACAGCGGAATCAGAATTTTTACTTAGCAGCGAAGCTCTTCTTTCACCGATGATCCAGCAGGGTATCGTATGCGTGGCCGTTTCGAAGTTGGTGGCTCTCGCGTGAACTTTGGGCCGTTGTACGACCGAAGCGACGATCGTGACGCGGAGTGCCCCACGTGGTTCGTTTGCGTCAGGAGCACGTCGCTGCCGTCCCTGGACTGGCAGCTGCCGAGCGCGGCCGGGCCGTACGAGCTGCGCGTGGACGTTCAGCCCAAGTCGCACCACCGCGCGCACTACGAGACGGAGGGCAGCCGCGGTGCCGTCAAGGCCACCACGGGAGGGCACCCCGTGGTGAAGGTACCCTCCGCCTCACCATCCTCGTCATCCCCATCATCCTCGTCATCCCCATCATCCTCGTCATCATCCTCCACCTATGTCTCCCCCAACGCCTGATGTTCACACATTGCACCAGGGTACTCATTTGAGGTCTAGCCGATCTAAGGGAGGCTCAGAACTGGTTTAGTCATTCGCCGCTGTTTTTTGCGGCGATGAGCGTGAATCGAACTCGGGTCGCCGGCTTCAAAGCGCAGAACACCTGGACCACAGGTGTACGCCACCTCGCCCCAACTCTCTTCTATCGCACGACCGCTCTCGCTGCCTGTGACTCGCACAGCGATTTGCGTGCTAATATTAAACTAAACTATTGTTATTTGACCAGGTAAGGCCCACTGAGCTATGTAGCTCTTTTTCAGAAGCGTCCTGACCAAAATGATAGCTTATCACGTGTAAATGTATAGCAGTAGCCACACACTCTAAATGCGTGACGTAGATTCTAAATGTGGATTGAAAAACCAGAGGACTCGGAGAAAAAATCTACACGACCACGGGGAGAACACGCAAATTCTAGATTTCAAGCCTTCGTGACTGCAAGGATTCATATTCTTAGGTTTTTTCGGTAAAGTCACGTAGGTAAAAAATTAAAATTGATAGCTGTATCAAGTGTATCAAGTGATACAGCTATCGTGCTGTGACTGTTCCACCTGAAGACGGAAGCTTGTGTTGCCTCCGAAACGTCGTGATTTTTTATTTTTTTTATTTTACTTTTTATTAATTTACATTTTTTACCTACATGACTTTACCGAAAAAACCTAAGAATAAAGAACACGCAAACTCCAAATGTACAGGCATCAGGGTCTGGATCGAGCCCACAACCTCCTGTATACCGGGCGAGGTAGTTAACGTCTCGCCCACGCTGGCATCCGACTCGTTCTTCTGCAATTCTCATGCAGCCACCTGTGGGTCTGCCTGAGGACACTTCCAGGTGCTTCCACGATCCACCAACCCTAGCACTTCAAAGCGATTGCACCTCCACGCGGGGCTTCAACACTGGGGCTGCAGAGGGACCCAATGGCACGTGGTGTCCAGGGAAGCATTTTTAGTTCCCTCTTAATCTCTCCCCTAGTTTCAAGTTTCCACGCCGGGAACGTCTAATCGGAAACGAACAATTTTCTCGAGAAAAACAAAATTGAGTTGTGGTGAAAAAAATATAAATGATGGGGATGGGGGGATTCCCGCAGAAACGTAACTGCGAGGGGTTCTTATTTCACTTGCCCGCTCGTCCAGATTAATTATCATAATTTCTTGTCCTCTTCCCGTGTCGTCGTCCAGGCTGTTTGGGGCCCGCTCCAGCGCCGAAGCAATGGAGCGAGTGCCGTAGATCGGCAGCCTCGTAAGGGATTGTGGGATATGCGATCTCACCGTCGGGCAGGGGCGGCCGCGCTCTGGGAGTTGGGGGGGTGTTCATACTCGCGAGTTCTTGCCGGCTGATGCTGGTTGGCTTGCAGATAGGATCCGCAAAGTTCACCCACTGCTTAGGAAGTTATACTGCAGTATAGTTACGTTAAATATGCATGCAACTACCATGCTGGCTACTGACTCAGTATCCAGCCTACCGTTCGTAGATACTCTGTATTGAAACGTTCAGGCATCGGCACAATCAGCATTTGTCACCCAGCTTGTTGAAGGAGGTAAATGAGGAATTTGAAATATAAGGATTTTGGGGTCGTCTTTCAGCCACATCTAGACACTCTGTGGGTGTCTCTTAGTCACATCTAGACACGCTGTGGGTGCCTCTCAGCTACATGTAGACACGCGTGTATCGTGCACTTTTAAATGTTCCTGTTCACGACCCCCCAACGATTCTCTGAACCGGTCCTGGGCTTCCCCTAGGTCGACTTGGCCTCAAATGAGCACCCGGTGCGGTAGTGTAAACATCACCACAGGGGAGACAAAGGCGGCCGGGCGTGGTGCTGGCCACCCAAGCCCCTCGTGTGCCGTGCCGGCCTTCATAGGTGCTACTCACTAACAGCACTCAACGTCCCAACAGTCTGTTACGGACTACTTCAGCTTTTCTTCCAGAACTGGAAGAAATGGGAAACAGTTAAATTGCCCCACTCACTAGTCGCCATGGAGGCGAAATGTTACATGCCTCGTTTGCGGAGGGATTGATGAACACGAGAATTACGTCTCTAAACGAGCTCTCAACGCATCCGTCGGTAACGCCCGTGGCATTTGGGAGCCTGGTTTTGCCGAGTCTGAATTTCCTCCATATTGCCCTTTTAATATTTTTTGGGAATTTTCGCCAGAATTCACTTTATGAAGAACATATTTAAACCCAGTAATGCACGACTGGTGTGTATTAAATTGGATAACGTTTGGCAGTCCATCCAAACACGCGTGTTCTTTTAGTCAAATATTGATCATGTTTTGGAGCTTTAGCACTCCTCATAATTCAAGCCAATTATGTTTTTTTCCTCAAAACACACAGGATCTGGAACGTACATTTTAAGTGGAAAAAGAACGTCTTAAGTTATTATGATTTAAAATAGATTTTTTTTTTAAGTTGGGCCAATTTTTTTAAATGGACTCCACTTTTAAGTGGCATATCACGTGAAATGTTTACAAGGCATCCAACATTGGTGCCCATTGCTGTACGGCCGCCCCTACGGAGAGGTTTTAACACCTCCTGATAACGATTGCTTGTGTTGCGATCGAAACGTCGTAGTTTTTTCTTTTTTTTGTTATTTTCTTTGAACCTATCTACGTGACTTTACCGAAAGACCCACGAATATAAAAAGTGACGGTGTGAAAACAAAGGTACTCGCAAGACCACCGGATCTACTGGGATGTGTAGCGACTATTAGCTGTGCTTGCATGAATGTCGAACTTCTTTCGCATCTTACGTAGCCAAGCGGGCTAATTGGAGGCGTGGCGAGACGACAGCCGGTACCCAAACGCCGCGTTCCCACGGCGATCGCCGAGACCCAAGCCGTGCCGAGTCATTCCTGGGGCGGCTCGGCACGGCTCACATCCTGCCCCAGTGCCGCCTACCCCCCCCACCCCTGCCACCGCCCGCTGCCCACGCATCCTTCCCTTGGCCGCCGGCAAGCGGCGGAGGGAAGAATAGGGAGCCACGCGGGCATTCGGAATGTATATTCGTTTATTTAGCCGATCTAACGTCCACTTTTTGCGATTCGCCGCCTGCTCTATTTATCAAAACCCGGCCCTGAAAGTTTGACCTACGTGCGAGAGATGTCAGCGAGCGACGCGCGACTCACGAGACCGCGACCGCGGTCCAGGGTGAGCGCGCGAGAGAGGGAGCGTCACCTTCCCCCCCCTTCCCTGTGCCAGCCACGTGGCACAGAGAGAGCGGCGAGCTGCGCTGCCCGGGTGCAGCGTGCAAGGCTGCCGCAAAAGTCCGGCCTCGGTCCACGTGATAAGTTTCGCGGGACTAAACTATAAAAAAATATTTTATGTTAGCAGGTAAGGCTCACCGAGCTGTATGTGTAGGTCACAAATTAAGACTCGGCAAAGTGGCTTTTCACGTGGAAATTTATAGCAGCCAAATACTCTTAAACGCGTGTCGATTCGAAATGCGGAGGGAAAAACCGGAGGACCCGGAGAAAAATCCACACCTCGGTGATAATGCGCAAACTCCATATATACAGCAGGCGTCAGAGTCGGGATCGAACCTACGACCTCCTGCACACCAGGCGAGGCAGATAACATCTCGCCACCGTGGCGTACATGGGCCATCCGTTTTTCTTCCACTTCTGGAATAAAAACTAAATTAGCCTTAACAGACTGCTCGGGTGCTGAGTGCTGTTAGCGAGTAGCACCTATGAAGGCCGGCACGGCACACGAGGGGGTGGGTGGCCAGCACCACCCCCGGCCGCCTTTGTCTCCCCAGTGGCGATGTTTACACACCGCACCAGGTACTCATTTGAGACTGAGTCGACCTAGGGGAGGGCTCAGTGCCGGTTGTGATGATCGTCACTTGGTGTTGGCCACGAGCAGGAATCGAACTCGGGTCTCTGCCGGGTTGTTTCGCGCAGCACAGCTAACCGCTGCACCTCCGCTCCCCACGCGCCGTGCCAAATGCCAAAGAGCAACATTCCCTGGCCTCCTCCGATCACACACACGCACATGCGCACACGCGCGCACACACGCACGCGCTTCCAGACGCACGCAATGTTGCAACGGCTGATTTTGTTGCTCATAATTATTGCGGCATAATTCGAAAAACATGCGCGACGTTTCAACATCAAAATAGCGCCGCTGCCAAATTACGAGCCGTTGTGAGAAATTCCTTTTCTTTTTCATTTGATGTGAAGTTTTTATTTATTTATTCGCGCTGTGCGCAAGTAAATAACGTGCAGCGAGCCAGCCAAGACGTGCCGCTCGCCTGGCATGCGACAAGCGGGTACATCGTTATCTTCAATTAAATTCGATTCTTTTTTTTCCCTCGCTGTACATGAATTAGTGCAAACGCCGGTTACAGGATCAATCGCAGTCCCTTGACTTATTTGGTCAGTGGCTGACTAAACGTTTCACTGCTTTGGGTCGACCGGGCTATGATATGCACAGACTCGGCCTCGGCTGGAATACCACAGGCTGTCCGTAACACGTCAAATTCCTCGTCTAAAACTTCGGGTGATACGGGATGCTGCTACGAAGCATGCCGCCAGATATCTTTGGACCTGACGATGATGACGAGTGCTGGGTTTTTGTCATTGATGATCTGGTGAAAGGGTTTCCCTATGTTGCTTTATCAACTGCCAAATGCCACCCTGTTCGCAATCCTTTATGGCTGTGTTCCTACTTCTTATCTTATCTCCATCTGTGCGTTCTCCTTTTCCCTCTGCGACATATATATAAAAGCCTCCTGCGTTCGATAACCATTCATCATCCCGCCTTGTTTCTAACCTGTTTCAACATTCAATGAGTAAACTAATTTTCTGAACGTACACGCCGATGCAATGCCGGGCGAGGGCCCTCGCCGTGTGGGATTTATCATTGCCATACTTCACCACGCCGGTCACTCGGCGGCACCTTTAGTGAAGGTGCGGGGGGGGGGGGAGAACGCAGACGTGGCAACACAGAAGTACGACGCAGCAATCGATGTTGCTGCCCTCTGCTGCCCACCGCTTGGCAGCAGCCGATGGCAACACTGACACGTGTGACGACCGCCCGTCCGTTCGCTGTCCAGGCCCAAACCTTGCTTAGCTTCTGAGATCTTAACGACATCGGGTGCGATTGTACGTTTCGCGTGTGCGCGTTGACCCTTGCCCCCCCCCTCCCTCCCCTTCTGCTGCCCCCCCCCCCCCTCAGCTCGTCGGGTTTTCCCAAAAGCCCTTGAACCTGCAGATGTTTATCGGCACCGCGGACGAGAGGCTGTTGCGGCCGCACGCTTTTTATCAGGTGATTGTCGCTGTAATTTAAAAAATGTCGAATTAATTTTAATTTTTTTCGATTCTTACTTTTTTTTGCAGCACGGATAAACGTCTGGCGGGGAGGTTACCTGCGTGCGCGCGCGCGATGCGTACTTAATGGAATGTGTCAAATGGTAATTCCAATCCATTTCACAGAGCCATGCAGATTGTCTATGGGTCAGTTTTTTTTATAGAGGAAATAAATGGGATGCATATGAGATCGTAATGTGATGACTAATATAATAACTTCGTATGGTAGTTACGTTGGTCAAAACAACATCGGTAATATAATACAATGTGGAATATTCATGCCATATAAATGCAGATCCATCTCAACATGCCGTACACCTTCTACGATGTGTTATGCATGTAAATGTTTGCACTCAAAATAGCAACGCTTTTCCCAACGTTCTGTTTTTGATTCCCATTACCGAGCCGGGTAAGAGCCCTGCTGAAGTTAGCATCGTACACAATGCTCGTCGCTATCGGCACTGTGCTTCACTGCCGGAAGCAAATTCCAAATTCCTCTGATGGAGACCAGTCCCGTAGAAAAACCACCATTGGCTCCCCACCAAAATATAGACGGCATCACAAAGCGTTGCCCCTTATTCCGCTAACCCTGCCACAATGTTGATGATGATGATGAGTCTCTGTTGATGATAATGATGATGAGTGTGGCTTAATAATTACGATGCATGTGTGGCGATGATGATGATTACGATGATGATGATGGTCATCATGTTGTTGCGTTTCCGCTGTGCTGCTGCTGTGCTGCTGGTGTTTCCGTGCTGCCGTGTGCGGACGCAGGTGCATCGCATCACGGGGAAGACGGTGGCCACCCCGAGCCAGGAGTGTGTGCTGACGGGCACCAAAGTGCTGGAGATCCCCATCCTGCCCGAGAACGGCATGACCGCCTGGTACGCAGCAAACACAGTATCGACACGCGCGCGTAGCCTTAACAAGCTGTTGGGGCAAGTGCTGTTACTGAGCGCCTCATGAAGGGCCGGAACAGCGCACAAGATGGTGGGGTGGCCAACGCCACGCCCGGCCGCCTTTGTCTCCCCAGTGGAGATGTTTACGACATGCAGCCGTACCGGGCACCCATTTGAGGCTGCGTAGACCTAGGGGAGGCCCCAGGACCGGTTCGGATATTCGTCACTGGTGTTGCTGGCCGTGAGCGGGAGTCGCGAACTCAGGTCGCCGGGCTAACCGCTGCACTACCGCTCTCCACACTCACACACACTCACACACACTTATGCGTGGCATGAAGTTGTAACATGGATGTCAACACGCATATATACACAAACGAGCAGGACACTACACATGCGCACAGCAGACGGACGCGCAGGTTACGTTACCCGGCTAATGCACATCCGTCTTTGCCAGGGGAGCCCTTTAAATGCCTTCGTTCCATCCGGCATTCAAGTGTCCGCGAGCTTTCGCACACACCGCCTACGGTTGCGTACGGTGAACTTCTTTCGCACCGTAACGTAGCCGACCGCGCTACTCGGTGGTGCCGGGGGTCGGGGGGGGGACGGCAAACGACGGTGACGGGGGAAGCGTCGTCGTCGCGTGCGTGGGAAGGCACGAAAGCGATCCGCTATCCGTGCAATCGCAATATGAGCGCACAGTATGTCTGTCTGGCCAGAGCGTGTATTGCGGACAGAACCCAGTTAAATGACTGGTGCTGCTGTTCCTTATCGCAAGCCTCCACATTTTGCGAGCGCACGGCTCCGGATGAATCGGCGTGTTTTTTAGCGGAGGGGCAGCCTCCAGGCAGCTTCCATGAGAGCACGAGTGGATGACGTCGTTCTCCCGACAATCACAGCCATTCCTCGAGTCGATTGCAATACCGGGCAAGGTGTTTGCTCTGGGCAGCTCTCTGGCAAGCAAATAAGAGGGATAATACGTGCCGCGTGAAGTTTATTCTAGACATCAAAAGGTGCCACTGTGATCACCGAATCAGTCCTCCCATCATGCATTGCACCCCCACCGTACGGTGGTCTCGCGTGGCCTGCAAGGCACGGTGGGGCGGGCTCATCGAGTGGTCACAATCTCGCGCCTCTTGCCGTCGCACAAACCTCCTTTTGCGTGCGGAATTTCAACTCTTAAACGAGGAGTTGGCATTGAGGTTGCGGTTCTAAGCGAACAGAGGCATTCGGCAGGGAAGAAATGTCAGCGTGGGCTGTTTACGGGAGCCTTTGTATGTACGTATGTTGAACGTCTTTCGCAGTGTACATAACCAATCGTTCTAATCGGATGAGGTAGAACCCTTTGACAAGTGTTTGGGATTCCCACACGGAGGTGGTGTTCCTACTGTCACACCACTCCTCATGTTATACCTCCACTACTATCATACCTCTCCAGGCCGGCTCACTGGCACGCTCACAAACCACCCATCTGCCTATCATTCCATCCGCCCAGATCACAACGATTGAAGGAGCTTAACAGTTTACGGCCGAGATAAACGTTCGAACGGGAGTGTAAACGTGTCATCGGGGAAGATGGGTTTGAGATAGGAATTCAGCGGTGAGATAAAGAAACACAATTCTTAAGTGTGTTTTGGGTTTTGAGCTGAAGGCGAAATGGAGTTACGTTGACGAGGGGAAACTGACGGACGGAGATGTTTATCTCAACAGAAGCAGCTTTGTACCCTTAAGAAATGAGAAGGTTCCAAGGGAGAGAAATCTTTCCTTCGTGATGAGCAAATAGCAAGTCTGATACATCACAACGTTCCGCTCCCGAGCGAACCTCTGGAATGGTGGGTTCCCCGTGCTTCTCTCCCAACGCGCGGGGAATCTCGTGTGCGTTGGCCGCTTTGAGGTTCATTTCGCTGTGGTTTCGCCCGAGATGCGTGGGCAGAGCAAACTTCCACCACAACCCCCCAAAGCCCACGACACCCCCCCCCCCACCATCCTACCCCCGCCCGCCCCCTCCCACCGCAACGGAACTACCAAAACCTCCACGGAGAGCCTTGCTTCACGACGATATCTCAAAAAATTAATTTTGGGTGTTTAAAAAAAGATTGAAACAAAACACCATTGACATTTAAAACTAAAAACCACAAGGAACTGTTATTGTTGTTATTTATTTTTCGGCCTTATTTTTACTCGCATCTTGGCTACGTTTTTTTAAAGCGATGTTAGTCGCGTTGTGGGACGTTCGTAAAAAGTAGACTACAAAAAAACGGAACGCCCGCAATTGCAGTGCGTACCGTGGGGTAATGCCTCGCGCGCTCCCTGCATTCGCATTGAGGTTGCCGCTTTATTGGCATCCGTCGGGATTTTTATTGATTGTGGGAATATGTAATTTGATCTACGGCGCCCAAGCAACTTGGTGGAAATTCCACGTTTTCATTGACAGCTTGCCCAATCTATCCACAGCACGAAGACCACTGTGTAACGTTCTACATTTCGATTTAAAGCTTTCGTATATTTAAGCCCCTTCCCCCCTCCAACCCAGCTTAAATATACGCTGCCAAGCCGGGTTGTGCCCATTCAGATGCTGTCTTCCCGACAGACCTGTTCTTCACCTGAGGACGGCTGTTTGCGTCGTGGCTGAAACGTCGTGAGAATTATGTTATTATGTTTTATTATTATTATTTTATTATTTCCCTTCTACGTGACTTTACCGAAAGAACCAAGAAGATGAACGTTCTATATATTGGTACCCGACTCGTTTCATCGACCTTGGAGGAATGATCGTTGGGAATATGAATGATAAAAAAACCCGCCCATTGTGAGCCAAGTGTGTTGACCACAGCACCATTTGACCGGATAGGAAACATTTACTTTTAATTGTAACGTCGTGCATACTATCTTCACTCGATGAAGAACAGGACTGTTTCCTGGAAATGTAAAGTGGATCTCGTCAGTCAAGTGCGGTCTTTGCCAAATCGGACATGCAGTATCGTGCGTGAGCGTTAATGGGCATCTGTGTCGTTTTCGTCGTTGGCCTCGGTCGATCACCTGCTGGATGAGGTCATCCTCCAAGCCGGTCGAGGAGCAATGTTCACTCCGGTCATCCTCGCAGCAGCAGCAGCAGCAACAGCGGCATTTGGCTGAGCCGTCGAACAAAGACGGTCACAGCATCGCACAGCGCTTTCAGATGCGCTTCTGCGGCCGTCTGGAACGCCAATCCTTTTGATATTAGGAAGCCGCTGGAGCTATGCACTTTCAAATCTCGATTGAACGCTCACCTCTTTAGAACTGCTTTTTGTGTTTAGTTTGGTGTCCTTCCACCCGCAACTTCCGTTGGCTACGTACGGTGCGAAAGAAGTTCAACATACACACAAACAGCACCTTCCTTCGTGATCGCTTTACGGTATAAGAATAGCAGGGATACCAAATGGACCAAATTAACACATTCCTGCGGAGGGAGCTGGTAGGAACGTTGGGTTGCTCGGTCAATGGCCAGGGTCAACGGTGGCGTGGTGTATTCCGCAAATATGTCCGACTGTGAGGGCGGGCACAAGCCGGCGTGAGTAGGTTAAACGTTGAGTTTTATAAGGGCACCACGGGGTGACCAGCCCCTCCCCACCCAGCCCCTCCCCACCCAGCCCCACCCCTCCCACCCCCCACCCAGCCCCTCCCCACCATCCCCACCCAGCCCCTTCCCACTCTCCCCACCCAGCCCCTCCCCACCCAGCCCCTCCCCTCCCCACCCTCCCCTCCCCACCCAGCCCCTGCCTGCACGACGGACGGACGGACACAATAATCCCCTGTGGGCTGGTGTAACCAGGAGGTTCCTACCAGTATTATGATGTTCATCACAGCAGGAGCTAGAATAGATTTCGCGGTAACAGAAATCTCCCATGGTTACGGCGTCAGTATGCCGTGACGATGGGAGATCGTTGCTGCTGCTGCTGACAGCTTGCCGTGTCACCGCAGCGCCGGGTCCTCTCTATTCACCTTGGCGAGCGTTTGCACGCGTTCCGATGAGCACCCTCCTGGAAATAAAATTAAAATAAAGAACTCAAACGCCGATAACGATTCCCAAAACGGGGTTCCGCAGCATGCCGTTCCCCACGGCGACTGTGAGTGGGCGTCATCTGATCTTGGGGAGGGGTGGAAATCGGCCTCGTGGCTACGCTGCTATCAACCGGGATTGCAGCCGGCGATAAAAGCACACCGTTGGCGCCACGGTGGCGAGATGTTGACGACCTCGACTGGTATACAGGAGGTCGTGAGCTCCATCCCGACCCTGACGCCTGTTGCATATTTGGAGTCGGCGTGTCTCTCTCCCCGTGGTCGCGTGGATTTTTTCCCGGGTCCATTCGGTTTTTCCCCTCCAAATTTGCAAACAAAGTTGCGTTTTAGAGTATTTGGCCGCTGTTGTACATTTCCACGCGATAAGCCACTTGGTTGAGCTATCATCTGTGGCCAGGTCGCTTCTGAACAAGTGCCACATAGTAGCCTGGTAAAATATGTGTAGTTTTTAGTTTCAAATTGCTGTTGGTGTACAGCCACCACTACATTGAAGGTGCATAGCAAGTTCCAGCTTCCCCCCCCCCCTCTCTTCGCCTGCGGCCTGGCCGCTCAGCCGTCACACGCCGTCCAGAGCTGCGTATCGCTTGGTGCCCGGACCAGCAATCTGAAGGTCGCTGGGCTCGATGCGATCGCCTTGCCACGGCAGTTGAAAACGGTCGTGGAAATTTCCTAAATCTCCCCGCCTCTGTCCACCCACCAGTGAAATTGTGTAGGTATGAACACACCACAGTTAGTCGATTGGCAGATCACGTGTGGTGCACGGTGTGGGTGCTCTCACCTCTTTGGGCACATCTGGCCAGCGTGGGAGAGTGGGCTAAAATGCCAGCAGTGGCACGAGTAAAGCAATTTCAGGGCTGCACCTTTACCTTTTAGTTTAGGACTGGCTTGATATCCTTTTGCTCTCATGGCCTCTGTTTTATCCCACCGTT